AAATACGGAAACTCTTTCGGTGTATTATTTACAATTATTTGTCAAAGGCAAAGTGAATATCGTTGAAAAGTCTCCGCGAGGAAGTTGAAGGGATTATTCAATAATATTCACTGAGTAAAATCATGAATGTTATTCAGTATATTTTATTTCTGTGCTTGAATACTTTTTGTTGTGTGGTGGTAACTGGCAACTAGCTAGTCTTGTAGGACCGCCGTCTTTTCTTTTCACGGAGACGTAAGACTTCGGCGAGCTACATTTGTTCATTTAGTTTACTTCCATGCTTTCGAGTTCTGATGTAATTTCGTTTTGTTGTTGAAACCATTCTGCAAATTGTGCATTATTTTACATGGTTATTTTACATGATTATTTCGAGTGTGAAAGTTGCTTCCTTCATTGAGTTTCCTCATAACTCAGATAGGAATGAAATGAGTGCTGATTGTCCACAAAATATGTCATTTTGTCAGGATGCCCCATAACTTCATAAACCCCACTACAACTATTTGAATTTAATCACGTCGGAAACATTAGCCAAAATGTGTCTGCCGTGCGTCAGCTGCTAACGTCATCCTGGTTATCGTAACGTCTGAGTTCTTTCTTTTATTTACAATTAATTAAATGTTAGACAGTTGAAAACAAAGACTTGATTTCTTGGATTTCTTGTGTGTCAGCTCTTTGTCTTCGTATTGTTTTTCAAGTTTTTGGCAAGTGCTTTGTAGACTCCTAAGAAGTGGATTTCGGGCCAGAATGTGCGTTCTTTGTAGCAGCACAACTTATAAGCTTGACGGTCGTAAATTACTTTCCCCTGAGGCGAGTTTGAAATTAAAATTAAGAATCATATTTTTCGATCATTGCCTTTAAGTTGTTTATTTTGGCTCGCGAAAATGCAAGAGGTCGGTAAACCTCAAAGTAGCCTTTTTCCTGCGAGTAATCCTGATTAGAATTTATTTTTTAAGAATCTCAAGCATTAACTACCTTCTGCTCGATTATACAAATAATTTGAAAGTTCAAATTCAATTCTTTGTAGCACAAATACGGAATCAAACTCTAAATACCATTTTAGCAAGCTGCCAGATCAGAATATCCTTATGTAACGTGCAACATTCATTGAAGGAACAAGCCGCAAATTGTGCATCTTGACAATTTTCATCTAAATTTTCAAGCTAGTTTGGCGTTCACAAACTGTGTGAATCCTTCGCATCCTTTACCAGTTTCTTTTCATTTTGGTCTTTTCCTATAGCTCTGTTGTTTTCGTACTCTCGAAGACGGTCTTGTTCAGATTTTATTTTATCAATCGCTCCAATTACCTAGATTGTCGTTACGTAGCTTCATTTAGAGCACTCGACTGGAAAATGTTCTAGCGCGGGTTCTCAACTCTAACTGTTCTATTTCCTCGGGCAAAACGCGGCTACGAGGACGCACATGAGAATCACAGGGGAATACAACCCTCAATCCTTGTCTATAACTAGAACTGAACAAAAAATAAATGCATGGGTTGACCGCACTGATCGAATGTGCAATGAAATGAACAATAAATGTAGAGTTTGGATTTCCGCAATGCAGTGTTTCCCAGAAGAAAAACTTTAGAAATGTGAACGTGACGAACGGCGCCCAACATACGATGAAAACCAAAACTACGACAATACAAAGTTTCAACACGGCATCGTTTCGCTTCTCGCGGAGTTTTCTCGCGTTTTCGCTTTGGTAATGCCCCGGGAACTTCTGGTGTTTCAAGCGAAGAATGACGGCAGTGTACAGACATGCAATCACTGACAAAGGCAAAATGAAAAGCAGGACTGAAAGAACAACGAAGTAGAACTTCTGCGCCTTCAAGTTGTCAAAAAGTGGCGACCAGTTTAGTAAGCAATGTATTTCACCTTTGTAAACGTGAAATCTATAAATGTAGAAGTAGGGTGAATGGATGCCAATGGCGATAAGCCAAGTGAACGGTAGTGCAATCTTTACTGACTTTAAACCCATGACTGCCGCTTTAACTGGGTAGAAAACGCTGTAGAACCTATCAATTGCGATCAGAACTAAACTCTGCGTAGAAACCGCGGTAGAGATATCTTGGAACAGTGGTATAAGCTTGCACAAGGCCAAGCCGAAATCCCCGCCAATAATCCATCGGTTGGACTGCAAATAAACCCCACTAACCATCCGTGGCATGGCAAAAATTGGCAATAACAAATCAGATACGGCCATATTAGCTATCAGGTAACTGGTTGTGTTGCGCAGAATTTGTGTTTTGAAAATCACTAGCATGATGGTAGAGTTTCCAAATAAAGACATTAACATGATTACAGCATACGCCAGTGTTTTTGCAACTTTGGCTTCCGTTGTTTCATGAAAAGAAGAGCACTGGTCAAGTGGATCGCTTTGATTTTGAGTCACGGTAGTTGAATTCATTTTCACATTCGATGAGGCCTCTCAAATAAATTTTTTTCTTCTCCTTCTCTCTTTTTAACGACATTTACATGCCCGCCACGTGTCGGTCTAAGATGAATCAATTACGTACACATTATTAAACGTTCGTTAAAAGAAGGTGTGAGGTTATTATTAGGCATAATAGTCCTTTTCTTCGCTAACCAACGATAATTTGCATCAACCGTCAGTTTTTAATAAGTTTTTCTATACTAAACGTGTCGGTTCTTTGACTATTTACACTGTTGTCTGTAAGTCGTGGTTTTGGAAAGATTAAAAACTGTACTTTAATTTGGTCGTGTTAACCATAATCTCCTCTGTCTTTCTGCTGCGCCCTCTCGATGAATTTCTCAATTAAGAACAAATTTTCCATTGTTTGATTTGTTTGATTGGTAAACAAGAATTGGGGTTTTAATTCAATTTCTATCGATCAAGACAATTTCCAAGTTCAGAAAAGAGACAAATTAAATTAACCATTTAACTGTAAAGAGACTTGGACTAATTTTTGTTATTCCTCAACACAGTTGACAAAATAACCCCTTCTTAGTTTGTGTTCGAGAATGTAATATTTTTATTCCAAGTTCTCTCTTTAGCACTGTGAAATTAGCCGGATCGAGATTGAATTTCACACCTGAAATAAAGTAATTGCTACTTACGCCAGATTTTGTTGTTGTTTTTCTCCAATGTACACACAAGGTCACTTCCGCGTCAATTTTTCATTACAGCTTTTATTTATTTGTTAAAAATATCAAAGTGTGCGCTCAAAACGTGACAAAGGCAACCTGTAATTTCTTAGTTTCAATATTTGAATTGTTATTATGCAGAATCAAGTTTTCATGGAAACTTCTAAAGTCACTTTTCAAAAAAAAAATTGGAAATTAGCATTAGTTAGGCTGGAAACTAAGTAACTGTCGTATAAATTCTTCAAAAAGTACCGAGTAGGGCTGAGTAAGCAGTACGCCAGATAAATTTGAATAGGGCGCTTTCACTTTGAAAATGCAACAACTGGTTGACAGATGAAACGTTTTCCGTCCATACTACATCAACAGCGACTGTAGAAACAGTGAGCGTGCGTTCAACTGTTCATCCAACGTATTCGTCTCCAGGGTCACTCGTTTCCACTTATCGCTTATGTACTACGTGGCCGGACGGGAACGCAAAGGTCTTGCCCTAAGAAAAAATTTATGAAGGTCTTGAAACGCAGTCAAGCTAGCATTTCCGAAATTATTTATTTTTGGTATTTGATTAATGCCGGTTTCCGAAAAAAAGAAAAGAACTGTCGAGGAGCACTAGGCCTAAATTCAATTTTTAACATGTGAGCGACCTGAGCACGATGAAGAGGGTTGGCATGACCTTCTGGAACGTTTGCAAGTATGACAGCACCTCCTGAGAAAATTTTGCCAACAATCTTCTGGAAGCGTGTTATAGACTTTTTGGCCTCTAAAAATATCTTTTTAGGATTTCTTTCGATGGTATTTCAATGGTATTATCATTCCTGCAAAGTAGAGCGATTTTTGATAGTGTCGGAAAACCAAACCAAAGTAATTAAAACAGTCAGTCAGAAAAAACGAAATACCTTTAAGAGCCGATGAGAACTTACAGTAAAAACAACCAAACTGCCTAAAGCGCGGGAAACACGAGTGGCCAAGTCCTGATTGGTTTAAGTTTTGGATCTGACGGTCGAGAGAGTGGCGCAGAATGTTTTCTGGACCAATCACAGAGCGAAGTAAAGCGAAAACTAAGCAATCCCAGATTACTTTAGGCGCTCCTTTGAAAATTGTTCTACCATAGCATTCTATTCGCAGTTCTGTCTTTATCTGGGAATCCACTTAAGTAAGGTACTCTACTTTCAATTTTATCTTAACAAGACGGCGACAAGGAACAAAACTTAGAAATTTTTTTTATTGTCTACATCATCTAAATTTTAAGTACCCTTACTTTACACGCCAGCGTTTGATTCTCAGTTTTTCGGAGAGCTAAACTGACGTTATATCCGTACAATACTACATAGCATTTACTTATTCTTTCCTATTTTAAGAGTTGTGTCCTATGCAAGTATCATTACCTAACCCTTTACACCCTAACATCAGAACGTATAATCTCCCTACTCTTCACTATACATTTCCAATGGCATTCACGAGGAGAATTTTACTAACAATCAAGAACTGCTTTAGTTAGTGATCATTTTCTTCATTCTCATGACCTTGAAGTGTGATTCACGGGTGATATTGTAAGGAGAAATAAGATGCTAGTCACTGTAAGGGGTTAAAGGGTTAATATACTTTAAATTTAGACCAGAAAACTCTAACTCAAAGTAAGCTGTGATTCTCGAAATACACCCGTTTGACGGTAAATTTCAAACTTAATTTGGATTAAAAAAGAACCTTTAAAGTTACTACGAATTGTGGCGAAAAAAGGAAGAAAACAGCACCTTCTTGATTAAAAGATCACCAGTTTTCGTCGTTTACGCCAACATGCATAATCGGAACGGGAAAAAATACTTTTGAGTTTCAGATCAATCCAAGAAAGAATAGAGGATGAAAAGAGAACGGAAAGAGAACGATATTGGTTTTTTTTAAAATTTTTCTTTTTTCAGAGACCAGATGAGCCCGCGGTTTTCGTCCCTGAAGTTGCTAGGCAACATAACGTCATGAAGAGGATATTCCGTATATTTGTGGCATCTTATAATTGGATAACAAAGAGCGGTAGCTTTAAAATCGCTCAACGAGCTTTGAAAATAAATTTACAACTTTTTTTGCCGTAGGCTTTGACCGCTACATGAACTCTTTCCTTTGAGCGATGCAATAGCCTGCATTCAAAATGTACACTTAGGCTAATGTACCACAGGCTTTCCATCATCCCTTCACGTGTTTTCTTAAATGAATTCTGTCAGACGTCGTGAAATGTAAAGTTCGCTCGTCGCAAGGGAGCCGAAGTGAAAGGTGAAAACCATGAAATAGAAAAATACCCTCCAAAAACATCTTGAAGATTCTCATACCTGAAAAATAAAACATCTTTTAAAATTAAATTGATGAGGCATTCCACCATACATGTCCGTGAAAAAATTACCCATCATCCCACAAACATCACCATTTATGAGATGCATGCTCTTCCCAGATTCCCGAGGCCGTGCTAACGCCGAGACATTTGCAAATGTATCCCCTACATTACTCATTTGGATGTGTTGCATTCCATGACTCATGATTGTTTGAAGTTTTGTATCTTGTTGAGAGGATTTTTTTCAATCAATCGTGGCCAAAAGCAGAGCATAATCAATACATTCCCAGATTACCTTCAATGCTCATTTAAAATTGCTATATATGATGACAAATTCAATTGTTAAGTAGAGTAAAAATCAAAAAAGTAAATACAGATTGTAAGACATGGAAAGTATCCCACAACACATGTTACTTACACAGAATTATTTTTGATAACTCTCTCCTTCTTTAAATGTTCTATTCCCTGTAAAAACAATAATTAGGGTAAAACATAAGGTAACTATTGAATGATAGAAGATAGGTAGCTTTGGCTGATCTTTTTAATGTATATGAGTCCTTACCGTTTCATCTTTAACTATTGAGGATACTTGACTGCAGAACATAACAAGAGTGAAAATCCCAAATAGTAATCCTTCAAAGACTAGAAAAATCATCAATAAAATGGCTGAGGCTACTGGTAAAAAGGTGCAATCTGCAGAGAGAGATAGAAAAAGACATTGACTGGTTCAGTAGTGATCTTGATGGTGCTTGCCTGGTTTCTCTAAAGGAGCTATGGTTTATATCAGGTATCTACAAGTCAGGTAGCTGGTGTTCTAAAACAAGCATGGGGAGTCCCACTTATATTGTTTAAGACAAACAACAGGCTAACAACCAGTGGGTCTGACAAAAATCTCACTGCTGTTCTGATATAGTGGAAGGTCCTTGCAGTCACAAACAGCAGTAACACATTACTCACCATGCCATTCATTTTCTGTACATATAAGTATTTGTCGTATCGTCAAAACCAATGCATATATGGATATCAAAAAAATATACATCTGAAAAAGAATCAGAACATGAAATAAGACTTTTGGCACCTAATCACTTTAACAGCATCCAATTTTATTAATTTTTGAAGTACATTTACCCCTTAACATCAATAAGCACAATCTCCATACTGTTCACTATACATTTCCTAAAAAGCTGTCAAGGTGAATTTGTTGAACAATCAAGAACTTCTTTAGTTGGTGATCAATTCCTTTATTCTTGTGACCTTAATGTTTGATTCATGGGTGATATTCCAAGGAGAAATTAGTTTCCAATTGCTCTTAGATCCTCTTAGGGTTAAAGGGTTAAATGACAAGAATGTGGATCATACTCACTGTAAACAATACAAAGAATTTTTGATTGTCTTCCCCCACACAATTATTTATCCTATAAAGAGAAGAACAAGTTCAAAATGCTAACATTGGGGAAATTTAAAAATACTTACATACTCATAATTCATTGATTTTTCATCATTTTTTCCTAGGATATGCATGCAAAGAAACATCACATGCCCTCTATGCCAATCATGTTAATTTAGGATATTAAAAGAAAAAGGTCATAGGATCAAATGGAGTCTACACTGGACTCTGATTTGTTAGTCCCTTGTTTTGCCATAGACAGAGTTGGACGGCCCAAAACTTCTGTTACCAATTAGCCAAAACTATGACAAACTTTAAGAGACAAAATGCTCTTTAGGTAAATGCATTAATGTTAATTTCATTAATGACAACACAACATTTGATTTTTTTCTTGGAGAGTATGAATCTAATTGTCTTTGCAAATGATGTATACTGTGTACAGGCCCCTTCACTCTCCACTTTATTAGTGGTTATTAATGTGGATGCATATAACCCACCAAATTCAATGTACATGAATATATATAAGTTAAAATTTTGATAAATTTGCTTAAGACTTAGCATACCATGGACAGTGGTGATCCATTTTCCTGAGAAACATAAGAAAAAAAGTAAACCTTCTTTGAATACTTCACTGCTACTTTTCCCCATGAACTTTTCATTTACAGAGGCATATCTTAGCTCTTACAAACTTGGCCTAACCCTTCTCCAGAGATCACCAAGGATCTCAAAGGAGTTACAACATACCCATGGAGGGACCAATGTGGATTCCAATTCATTCATTTTGAAAAATTTAGCTGCAAATGTGTTTGTACTAAGTTGCTCACAGTCAAAGCTAAGCTTCTAAATCTACAGTTATCTCGATTCCTTCTTTCTTAGTCACGATTGATTTTGCTAATGAAAGAAACTAAAATCAGTATCTTCCCCCCACAAGACATGCAACAGATCAAATCCAGTAGCTGACTTTGGCTCTTTAGATCCCAGAAGCAAACCAGTCTTAATGTTATTATTGGGGTCTTTTTTGCTCCTCTTTGCTTCTCTAACATTCTAGTCTTCACTAAATGAGATCATAACTTAATGAGGTAATTTTGTATTATCAACTGAGTTGATAACGTAAATTGGCAACATCTTTTTCTTTTTCTTTCTACCTTCCTGATATAGAAAAAAAAAACAAGGACACACCTAATCCAATCTCCAATCACTTTAATCCCCCTTATCATTCTAAGCACTATATTTCAGGTTGTGACCTTTTCCTACATCTAGGCAATTTGGAAAGCTGCAAAACATTAGGACAAAATTTTATCATTCAAATCGGCACTCTTTTCATCTAACTAATTTATTCATGTTTTCTGGTCAACATATTCCCACTGATAGTGTACCTCCATTTTCTGCATACATGTATAGACACACACAACCCACAATTCTTCCATTAGCTTTCAAACTCTTAACAGTGGCCAATTTACGTTATCAACTCAGTTGATAATACTAAATTACCCTGTTATACTCTCCCACAAACACAGCACCACAGTTTCTTTAGAGACTTGCCCCCTTTATTCATAAGTTAACCCAGCAAACATTATCCAGCAAACAGGTTAGCAGAATACTCAGACTTGTCAGGAAAAAGTTTTTATCTCAATCTTACACCAAATTCTCAAATCTAATTATTTACAAGGAACTGTGTAGCAGCTAGAGGGGAGAAAAGGGTTGATAAAACTGACTAAAATAAAGGACTTACCTAATACATCTCTGACAAGTGCTGTAGTTACCAAAAATAGAAAGCAGACCAAAAGGTCAGTATATTATTCAATATAGTCATTTAATATTAGTATGTACTTTCTGGAGAACATGAAAAATCACTTGATTGTCTTTTCAGAGGTGCTCAAAAACTTTTCTTAATATCACAAAAACTGTCTTCACATCTTGCAATTTGGAATTGCTTGAGCCCAAATTTTATCTGTCCACAACACAGCAGTTTTGTGGAAATAAGGACAAAAACAACTCCAGGACTGACTGATATTATCAGTATCCTCCTCTAACTGTCTGATGATATGGAATACAATCTTTGGTTGAAATAATCTGTTCAAAACACTCTGGTTCTAACACAGATATGTCTTAATGTTTCAAGAAAATGGCACAGAAAACAATGCTTGTAATATTTCTAAGCATCCCCTGCTTGTCAAATATCTCAGAAACTCTTTGCAAATTAACAAATATCATGACACAGTAAGGTATTTCTAGAAAGGCCTGATATTAACTGGCACCAAAGTTGCCAAATACTCATACCTACAGTGGTGAGCTCGATCAAGCTTGATACACTCACATCTAGTGCATCTTAGAACTACTTCTCCCTCTTTTAATTGAAGCTTCTTCAAGTTTTCTGTAGTGCAATTTCCTAAAGGGATGGTACCCTACAGAAATATACAAACATACAAGTTACAAGTGTGTAGGATATTTCTGATGTCTGATCAAAGACTCCAAGATATTAATTTTGAGAATCAAGATTTAATTAAAAGAAACTTCTGATGAAGAAAAAAAAACTTGTTTGACATTCTTTGGTGAATGTAAACACATTTAAGATTATTATGTAACCACGTAACATTTATTTTTTCCATTATTTGATTACTTAACAGAAATCCATCAACATAGTTAACTGGGCTCCCTAAAATTGATAAAACTTTCCAGTATGACTGCAATTAGTTGATATCTAACAAAGATGACTCTGAAAAGTCCTAAAGTAGTCTGGTGGGGCACATGTTTCCTCCAACCAATACAAACTTGATAAAACTTTTAGACTTAAAGCAGCTATATCTTCTAAAAGTTTTCTAATAAATCACTCGAAAAATTTTGTTCTGATATTGCTTTTGTAGTGCTCTTTCCAGTAATACCGATTCAATTTCCACTCAAGTTTACTGGTCGATGTCTAAGAATGAATGAAACCGCGAAAGGTCTATCAAAAACATTGTTAACTGGCTAATGTTAGCAGGAATCGAAGTCGAATCTTGCTTGTTTACATTGACAAAAATCTACTCAACAAAGGAAGGAATAACAAGTAAAAAAATCCAGATTGTGCAAAAAAGTGGTGAATTTCTATTAGTCTAAAACAGACGTGTTAATTCCACAAAAAATCCTATCTCACAATAGTGACTTCAATGAATTAATTTAAACTTAAAGTAAACACGCTGTCATACCTATAAAGCTCAGTGAGGCACATAAACTAAATACTGGAGAAACAGTAAAGCTACAGCCGCAGAGACTTACTGGATCACTGCACATCGCTCGACTGTGGGCAACAAGCGCAAGACCCGCCAACAGAGTAAAAGCGATGGCGTGGAAAACCCCGATCGCAGCTGAAGTTACAACCTCAGGCAGTAGCATCACAAATACAACCACAAACTCGGCATACGCTATGAGTAAATATGTAAAAACCGCACATCCAATGCCGATTCCATCGTTTACAAACCACGATAAGCCACAACAGTTCGATTTTCGGCCCATGATCGCAGCTAAATTCACGGAAGTCCAATATGTCTCTAGCTTGTGCAGGCCGCCATTTGCATGTTTAACATGCAGCTGTTGAATAACTGCGCCCGCGTACCATGTTAATTCTTAAGCCAGTTGTTATAACAACAGTTTATTTATCCGGGATATTGAAACACTGGTCGGTCTCGAAGGTAACAAATTTATGGTCTAAAATGCCTGAACCTACGCCAGAAATTAACCAGGATGAAACAAAAGAACCAGAGCAAGAGGAAGGTGGAATAGATAAAGAGCAGGATGGAGAAACGAAAACGGAGGAAAAGGAGCCAGCTGCTGACGAAAACAAATCGAAAGAACCTTACGATGCTATGCGAAATGAACCTCATCTCACCAGCTTGATCGTGGAGTCGTATCTTGGAGAGAAAGATGAGCGAGGATTTTTCCATGGTATTGGAACTGCATTTTTCCGAGGCAATCATGTTTACTCTGGTTCTTTTGTGAACGGGCTAATGCACGGCACAGGACAATACATATGGGCGAATGGTATTAAATACGATGGAGAGTTTAAGAACAATGTCATTGAAGGAAGAGGTGTGTACACTTGGACTGATGAGAGCACATACGATGGCGAAGTTAACAGCGGCTTAAGACATGGTCAAGGTACGTACGTTTGTGGTACAATTCCTTCATCATACACTGGGGAATGGAAATACGGTAAACGCTCGGGAGAAGGTATTCTGCGCTATGACAAGGAAGGCCTGTCCTATTATGACGGGCATTGGGTAGATAACAAGCGCCACGGCTTTGGTATGAGGAGGTATGCATCGGGGAACATATACAAAGGAGATTGGAAGGACAATGTAAGGCACGGTACAGGAACGATGCACTGGTACAACAAGAATGAGCGATACGAAGGAGAGTGGAAGAATGGGGTACAGCATGGTCAGGGAGAACATTCTTGGTATCTGAAGCGTATTCCTGGATCTCAGTACCCACTGCGGAATTATTATGTGGGGGAATGGGTGAATGGATTGAGGCATGGGCCTGGTACATTTTACTATGCCACAGGTGCTAAGTATGTGGGAGATTGGGTGGAAAACATGAAAGATGGTCAGGGCAAGTATGTATTCAAGAATGGCTTGGTTTTCGAAGGTAAGAAGTTCATTTAAGATTACTTCAGTCATCTTATTTATCGGGCTGTGAGCTGAGACCCACAATTGTCTTGAGATAATGCTGCAGTGCTCTAATTGTCTGAGCTACCAAGCCAACTTAGGGTCACAAAGTCATCTATCTAGTGTACCTGTTTAGGGAATGTTGTTTGCTTATTGCCTTGAATGCCCAGCAATTGACAATCATATTGGGTAGACTTTCCACCGGACTTTCCATAATATACACAGGGTACAAAATCTAAGGGCAAAATAGCCTCAACTGTTATGAAAACAAATTCAAAGTGTTTCAATCTGTATTACTATATGGGAAAATTAGTGTGCAGTTTTTGCTGAGGTCAAAGTCTCTGAAATGGCAAGGGTTTGGCAGGGTTGCTGATGGTGTAATAGGGAGCTGTGTCTGGAAAGGAGCCACAAGGAAAAATTCAAACACAAGAGCCTACTTTCAGGCTAAACAGATGGCAGTGAGCAGTGTAGACCAGTCTGGTACTGGCTTTTATTCATACATAATGAGATTTACAATGTAAAGTACTAATGTTTGTGTCTTTGATTGGACGAACAATGTATTTTCCCAGTTGTTCACTTTTTTTTGAATTGAAATGTGAAAAAATCTTAGTAGGTATGAAATAAAAACACCATACCATGGAAATTGCTTGAACTTCTCATCTGTCTTCATTCTCTACCTAAGTGTAAATTTAAAAGACTATTGTATAGACAGCTGCTGAACATTTTGATGTGAGAGGTTACTTATGTTGATGTCCATACTTAAATTGACAAATTTAGAAAATTATAATCTTTTGGTTTCATTTGTTGTTGTTGTTGTTCTTTTCGTGCAATGCTTTTTTTTGATGCATTGCGACTCATGAATAAAATTGATCATGCTCACTTTCCATGGAATAATCTCTATTTATTGAAACCCCCGAATTGCTAATTGTTTTCTGGGTTAGGAGTAAGCTACAGTGTACATGCCATTGAATATGACATTTTTCCTCTTTGAATTTCAGGTAAGTTTGAAATGGATCACATGGTGGACTTCCCTGAACTAAACCCATCTGGCATGATGACTCCTGATATCATGAACTCAGGACTTCCTGTACGATCTGGTACCCCAGTGCGATCTGCATCACCCTTTATGACCCAAGAAAACTCTGGAAATCCACTCAACTTGAGCATTGATCTTCTTCTGGATGAGAGAGATCTTGATCTGTATGAGCGTGAAGAGGAACTTCAACAAGTCACCCATGTCCTCCTGCGACACGTCAGCAAACTGAAGAAGATTTACAGTTTCTACTCTTTTCTTGGCAGACAGGATTCTGTTGATAACACATTTGTCATGAGTAGGCTCCAGTTCTGGCGTTTCTTGAAGGACTGCAAAGTCCATCACTGTGGGTTTACAATATCAGAATTAGATCGCACAGTGGCATCTGACAAATCAATTGATTTACATGAGCCACAGCATGAGGTCCTGATGCGAGAGTTTTTAAATGCGATCATTATCATTGCCTACCATATCTACAGTGATGAACACCATGGACCGGAACCGCTGCTTCCCTGGTGTGTTTCACAGCTTATCACTGAGAACATCCTCAAAAATCCTTGTAAGGTTGGTGGAAGCTTGTTTCAGGATCCAACAAGAGCAATTGAAGCCATTAAATACATGCCACGAAGCTGGGACATTTATTGCGGGTTATGTGTGCCAAACACACATTACCCTCATGAACCAATTTTCAGATCCAGACAATTCATGTTCATGCTTAGTGACTTTCGAATAATTAACTCTGACCTGAATCCAAGGGAAGTGTTGCAGATCCTTGCAAAGGATAACCCAGAACTGGCGCAAGATGATTTCTGTAATCTGGAGCTAGAGATGACATTCTTGGAGTTTTTTGAAGCCCTTATTGACTGTGCCACAGTCTATGTTACAGAGGCTGTCCTGAAAGGGCATCTCTCACCTAAAGCCACCCCTCTTCCATCTTCGAGATCACAGAGTCCTGCAAGTTTTACACCCGCAACTTCAAAGCCTGGTCTGGAAAGTCCAGATGAAGGTTAGTATAGGATCATGCTGACTGTTTAACACACAAGGATGGGAGGCTGGGAGTAAAAAAAAGCCTTAAAAATTAATGTTTTGTTTAGCCTCCTCTTGTTCTTATAATCAGATTTAATCAGATTCATACATGTAATACTAGTCCTTTCCTGTTTCTTTTCCCCTTTTTACTTTGAGAGATATGGTCATGCTCAAAATTAAGTTGAGAGTCGCTGGAAACCCAATCCTCAATCTTCAATTCTCAATTCCCTGAGGATTGAGGCTTAAGTCATGTTTTGAAACATTCAAGTGGAGTTTAGAAAGGCCCAAAATGAATTTTGAGGGTTTCAAAATGTGGAACTAGGAATTTTTATGTGATTAATTTTTCACACTACTTGAATCTTCTTATTTATTGTATGTGGCAGACATTTCCTTCCTGCTCTTGTGACCTGGAACCTTCAAACCTTGGTTCTTGTCCTTCTTCAAAACCTGCCATCCTGTCTTCTTCTCCTCTCCCTCTCCTCCCCCTCAGTTCATATTTAAACTTATTGATTTGTAAACTGTATAATGGACAAAGAAGGGCTCAGCATACATGTGTTTAATTAAATCCAAGGAACTTGAATTTTTGTTGTCTTCATAGATAAACCTCACCTAAGATTATAAACAAATTTTAAGCACCAAAGGGGTCATAAGTCATAAGTAATATATTTAGGTTAATATACAGTCTCCCATACGTATCACTTATCAGTTTTTGTCTACATCTTCACAAGATCAGTATCAAACTGTTAACTCAGCTACTGTGACGCCAGGAGGAGGAGAGTCTCCTGATCGTGTGTCCAGGGTCATGTCTGGAGCATCAGAAGCAAAGCCTCCTCATCTGCCATCAGCTGACTCACCCACAAAGAGCAGAGAGGCTGTTGCAGCACACACTACCTCTGGTAAGCTGAGATATGTTATGGTTTGGTCTCTTTGAATAAGAGGATAGAAGAATCTTGGTCTTAGATACATTTATCTCTTATTTCTTGCACTTTTCAGTCACACATAAATCAGTGGAGTGAAGAGGCAGTTGACTGCAAATTAAAATGTTGTCACCCAAACAGCCAATTAAACAATAAGACCTAGTGAGCTCAGAAAAGTTCTTTTATTCACCACATGCAACTAATTGTGGTTGTCTACCATATGTACAGTATATCCATGGAGTGATTTGGTTTTGTTGGTGAATATGAATGCTTTTCAGGTGCCAGTATGTTTTTGCAATGAAAAGTACATATGAAGGACCATCATCATTTTGTTGACAAAGTCCCTTTATATTTACCCTTTTTCTTCACTTCCTCATTTTTATGTGGTAATAGAACAGCTTTTTTGCAAGAAAAATATCTTCTCATTGTTGATGTTTGTTTTCTAGCAAAAAGTACTGATCTTCTTCCAAACTCTCAAGAAGGCAGCAAGAGAATCCATTCAGTTCCTTCCAGTGCAAATGCAGCCCATCCATCCTCTGAGATGGGAGAATTTGAGGAAGGGGAAGCTGACAACCTTGGTAGGTTCCCTCTTGTCTTTGGCTGTTTGCCCAGATTTGTAGGGGCATTGTTTGTAAGTTAGACAAAGGCAGTGACAGGAGAGTTTGAACAAGTTAACTTCGTGATGTTTAAAATTACCATCCCCTTGATCAGTTAGGGCTAAATAAAAAAATGCATTAAAATTTATTATTCAAATAATAAAATACAATTTTTAGGGGTGGGGCAGTCTTATGATAAGTATACTAGACTTTTGATCCAGAGGTCTGGGTTTGAGCCTAGCCAAGGTCATAATTTCTTTTGTGTTGTAATGCAAGACTGTTTCATCTTACATTTTGTCCCTCTGTAATCTACTGAACAGCGAATGCTACCTGAAAAAGTAC